CTATGGTTGAAATAAAACAGCCCAATTATTAAGAGGTAAACTATCCTTCCGTATTTATCCCTCCGTCCGTCCGTCTCCGCCTTTCTTTCTTTCTTTCTTTCTTTCTTTCTTTCTGATTTTTTGTCTTTCTTTCTGTCTTTCTGTCTCTTTCTGTCTGTCTTTCTGTCTCTCTCTTTCATTCTTTCTTTCTCTCTCTCTTTCTGTGTCTCTTTCTATCTGTCTTTCTTTCTGTCTGTCTTTCTTTCTCTCCTCTTTCTCTTTCTCTCTTTCTGTCTGTCTTTCTCTCTCTTTCTCTGTTTCTGTCTGTCTGTCTTTCTTTCTTTCTTTCTTTCTTCTTTCCTTCCTTTTCTTCTTTCTTTCTTTCTTTCTTTCTTTCTTTCTTTCTTTCTGTTTGTCTTTTTTCTCTCTTTCTTTCTCTTTCTTTCTGTCTGTCTTCCTTTCTCTTTCTTTCTCTCTCTCTTTCTGTCTGTCTGTCTGTCTGTCTTTGTCTTTCTCTCTCTCTTCCTTCCTTTCTTCCTTCTTTTCTTCTTTCTTTCTTTCTTTCTGTTTGTCTTCTTGTCTGTCTTTCTTTCTCTCTTTCTATCTGTATTTCTGTCTCTCTCTTTCTGTGTCTGTCTCTTTCTTTCTTTCTCTTTCTATCTGTCTCCCTTCCTTCCTTCCTTTCTTTCTTTCTTTCTTTCTTTCTTTCTTTCTTTCTTTCTTTCTTTCTTTCTTTGTTTCTGTCTTTCTTTCTGTCTATGTCTGTCTTTCTTCTTTCCATATATTTTATGGATTTTTTTTAAAAAAAGATAAATCCCTTAAGAGTCGGTAAACAAACATGTCGGCTGGCGTTGCCTTCAGAAAGAAAAATCAGGAACAATCGGCGTCTATAATCCATAATCCGTCTTTCTTTCTTTCTTTCCATATATTTTATCAATTTTTGTTTAACATAAATCCCTTAAGAGCTTTGCCTTCGTCAAGAAAAACAGGAACAGTTGGTTTCTGTAATCCATAATCCACGTAGTACATTTAGTTGATTTTTCTCTTTTCCCCATAATGTCTTCTTTGCAAACCTTGAATTAACACGGTTCTTATTATTTGGATAAATGATGGTTACATATGTTCCCCCCCCCCCAATATTCCTAGAAATAATGATCACATCAGTGTAATATTATTTTTATTTGCAATACATAGGAAGAGAGAGAAAGATTGAGATCTGCTTATATGTAGACCTTGTTTAAAGACTGACCTGTTTAGTGTAGGGTTTCCTGCCTAAGCAGGGGGTTGGACTAGATGACCTCCAAGGTCCCTTCCAACGTTGTTATTATTATTAATAATAATTTATTTGTTATTTGTTATTTATTTGTTATTTGTTATTTATTATTATTATTTGTTATTCATTATTAATTGTTATTATTATTTATTGTTATTGCTTATTTATTAATTTATTTGTTATTATTTATTTATGTATTATTATTATTTGTTATTTATTATTAATTGTTATTATTATTATTCATTGTTATTATTGCTTATTTATTAATTTATTTGTTATTATTTATTTATTTATTATTATTATTTGTTATTTATTATTAATTGTTATTATTCATTGTTATTATTGCTTATTTATTATTATTAATTTATTTGTTATTATTTATTTATTATTCGTTATTTTTTATTATTATTATTTATTTGTTATTTATTATTAATTATTATTATTTATTGTTACTGCTTATTTATTATTAATTTATTTGTTATTATTTATTTATTATTCGTTATTTATTATTATTATTTGTTATTTATTATTAATTATTATTATTATTAATTGTTATTATTGCTTATTATTATTAATTTATTTGTTATTATTTATTTGTAATTTGTTATTATTTGTTATTTATTATTATTTATTATTTGTTATTTATTATTATTTATTGTTATTATGGTTTATGGTTTATTATTATTAATTTATTTGTTATTATTTATTTATTATTATTTGCTATTTATTATTTTTGTTGTTTATTTGTTTGCTATTATTATTAGTTGTTATTATTTGTTATTATTATTATTGTTGTTATTATTACTTGTTGTTATTGTTGTTGTTGTTACTATTATTATATTTCTTTTCTATCTAATCATTCTGGTTGCCTGGTCTTATATCCTGTTAGTGCTTATTTAGATTTTTTTTTCTCCCATAAAAGTTCAAAGTATTCTTGACGGTTAAGATTTTCTCCAATGGTTAATTATATTTAAAGATTTAAATCCTTTTTTTCCATATAAACCAGGTCAACCCTTTTACATTTCTTAAAGAAGAGGTAAAAAACAGTGAACAAAAGGAAAAGAGGGCCAGAGCAAAGAAACATAAAAAGTAAAATACTACTTAAAATATATATTCCTCCTAAGCTAATACATATACATTCCCCAAATTTCTGATGCTTTTTAACCACGATTAAAAATATATTTAACCTTTCAATATTCCATTGAATGTGCCTAGTCATCTAATCCTTTAACTCTTATTCAAAACATTTTTTTCTATTTTATAGTTTATAATTTCCCTAAATTCAGACACATTTAATTATCTAAAACATTTCCTTCATCTTCTAGGCCAGTGGTTCTCAACCTTTTTAAATCCGCGATCCCCCAACCGGTCGTAAGTCGAGGACTACTCAACCGGTCGTAAGTCGAGGACTACCCAACTGGTGCAGCACCGTTTGCAGAATGGGACTTTTGGCGGGCTCAGCAGGGCAGAGACAGCCTGGACAATTCCTGTTGGCTTTGGAAAGCCAATAGAATGAGACTCTATTCAAGAGAGTCTATTCTATTGGCTTTCAAAAGCCAATAGAATAAAAGGGAGTAGCACAGCTAAGGAAAAGGGGGGAAAAATGGCGGACTGCGTTGTTTGGCGACCCCTATGAAATGGTCGTTCGACCCCAAATGGGGTCCCCACCCACAGGTTGAGAACCACTGCTCTAGGCCTTTTCACCAGTATTATATTACTTATATCAAGAAATAAAATAAAAAAGGGGGGAAAAAAAGCACACAGTATTATTTAAGGAATTCATCCCTCTTAGAATGACATACGTATTCAGAATCTTTTCTATTTCTTTAACCATATTCCAACAAATGTTTCTTTTTTAAAATAATTCTGTCCGGTAGATCCCATCATCTATTTTCTTAATTTTCACTTTGATCTTTTTTTCCTTTGACCGGGATCCTTCTTGATCAACGTGTTTTGCTGAATCAGATTTTTTCCCCCCGTATATTCATGACTGTTGCTGTAGGTATAAGAAGTAAATCGAATAAAGTGTCTTTACGTGAGGCTTTTGGTCTTCCACGTTTCTTGAAAATCTTGCTCTTTTTCTCGTCCATGGCTTCTCTTATCACTTCCTTTCGGTCTGATTCCATTTTATCCAATCTGGTTTTTTTTTTTTTTTTTTGTCCTCAGATTTATTTTGGCGTCTTAAGGGATGAGTTGTTTTTTTTTTCCCATTCTCCATTTTTCCCCACTAGGATTAAATCATGTTTTCTTGCTTTGTGAAGTTCCATCTTTGAGTCTCCTTTTTCAATTTGATGTCCGCTTATTTGTTTTGTCTGCTCCTTCTCTGTTGTTCTTTCCTGGAAGTTTTTATTGTTGTTGTAGAGTTAATTTAGAAATAGATTGCTTTATATTTGCGAATTTATTTTGGATTTCTTCGTGATTTGAACTCCGTGTCATTTGAATTAATTGCAGTATACTATAAATCTCCCCCTGACAAGTATTTATGTTTTCTCGGGGTGTTCTATCTACATGTCTCTGATCCATGATGGCCGAAAGTTAAAAGTTTTCCTTCTTCTCTGCAAATAGCTTTGGCGTCCAGGTTAAATAAATATTGCTAATCCAAAGAGTTCAAAAAAGATTATAAACGTTTATAATTCTCTCTTGGTCTGCAGCCCAGTTTGTTTTCTGTGTTTTTGGTTTTTTTTTTTTTTGGTTACAGCTTTTCTTTATGATTAAAGCTTTGAAGGTCACAAACACAGATTAGCTTTTCCCAGCTTTTAGCACAGTGGTTCTCAACCTTTTTAATGCCGCGACCCCCCAACCGGTCGTAAGTCGAGGACTACTCAACCGGTCATAAGTCGAGGACTACTCAACTGGTGCAGCACCGTTTGCAGAAGGGGACTTTTGGCAGGCTCAGCAGGGCAGAGACAGCCCTGGACCATTCCTATTGGCTTTGGAAAGCCAATAGAATGAGACTCTATTCAAGAGAGTCTCTTCTATTGGCTTTCCAAAGCCAATAGAATAAAAGGGAGGAGCACAGCTAAGGAAAAGGGGGAAAAAAAATGGCGGACGGCGTTGTTTGGCGACCCCCGTGAAATGGTCGTTCGACCCCAAATGGGGTCCCGACCCCACCGGTTGAGAACCGCTGGTTTAGCAAGTTCTCTCTGGACATCGTCACGGTCATAATCTTCATCCACCAGTTTTAAACAGGTGTGAAATGGGCCGCAGCCGAGTATGGGCTGTGGCCCAGGGATTGGGGAACTCCTGCATTAGGACTCTGAGATGGCTCTTTACAGTTACTACTACAATTAATCAGTGGAACAGCCTGCCTCCAGAAGCAGTAAATGCTCCAACACTGGAAGTTATTAAGAAGAGACTGGACAGCCATTTGTCCGAAATGGTGTAGGGTTTCCTGCCCAAGCAGGGGGCTGGACTAGATGACCTCCAAGGTCCCTTCCAACTTTACTACTATTATTGTCTCTTTGGGTACCGTACTGAGCCAGGTAACGGAGCCCATTTGTTCTTGAGCATCAGGAGAGAAGTGGGATCCGTTGGGACCCTCGGAGCCCTGGATCCAAACCCCAGGATTCTTTCCTTCCTGGCGCAGGTGACCTTCGAGGACGTGGCCATTTATTTCTCCCGAGAGGAGTGGGAAGAATTAAGCGAAGGCCAACGGGAGCTGTACCAAGCGGTGATGATGGAGAATTACGAGGCAGTTCTTTCCTTGGGTAAGAACGACTTCATTGCTCAGGTGCTGGAGGGAAGAGGGTGAGTTGACTTCCCACAATCCTCCTTGGCCCCAGACTTGTGTCTCCCACAGAGGTCAGCTGGACGCTTCTGGGGAACCACCTTCAAGCAGCAAGAGATGAAGGCCACAGACCTTCTCCTCGTTGGGTGCCTTTGATGGTGGAGCTTCCGTTGCACTATCAAAGGCCCGTGGCGACGATCTCCACAGCCGTGGCGACGATCTCCACGGCCTCAGACCATCCGTGGTGCCTTTGCTGGAAGAGAACGGACGCTTAGAGGTCTCCCCGTTTGGAGGACATTTGATTGACAGACCTTCGGTCTCTTGAGGATGGAGCGGCTTCGGGTTCATGCTTAGAAGAGGCCCCCTCCCCCCCGGGGCCTCGGGAGATCGAGTCTGTCTTCCAAATGCCGTGCTGGGTTTGGACGATGGGATTCGTAGTCCGAGCCGCTCTGAAGGGCGTGCTAGAACCTTCGGAAGGGGCTCCCGAGGTCCTCGAATCTGAATGTCCTGCTCAAAGCAGGAAAGCAGATAAAAAATAACCCCCCCCCAAAGATGGCAGTCCAGCCTGTGCTTGAATACCACCCGGGACCAGGAGCATCACCTTTGGGATAGGTAAGGAAGCTTCTACTCTAACGTTCATTCATTCAGACCTTACCTACCTGTCTATTTAGTCCACGAATGGGATATTTGTAGCCCAGGTCCTTGATGCTGTCTGAGTTTGGGGGTTTCTTTGGAGACATTTCGTGATCCGACTGGAGAACACCATCAGGGTTAGAAGGGAGAGGGATTTGCAGGGAGGAGGAGAAGGAGAAAAGAAGAAGAAGAAGAAGAAGAAGAAGAAGAAGAAGAAGAAGAAGAAGAAGAAGAAGAAGAAGAAGAAGAAGAAGAAGAAGAATGAAGAACAGGAGGAGGAGGAGGAGAAGAAAGAAGAAGAAGAAAATAATAAGAATAATAATATTAATATTAAGAAGAAGAAGAAAAAGAAGAAGAGAAGAAGAAGAAGAAGAAGAAGAAGAAGAAGAAGAAGAAGAAGAAGAAGAAGAAGAAGAAGAAGAAGAAGAAGAAGAAGAAGAAGAAGAAGAAGAAGAAGAAGAAGAAGAAGAAGAAGAAGAATAAGAAGAATAAGAAGAAGAAGAAGAAGAAGAAGAAGAAGAAGAAGAAGAAGAAGAAGAAGAAGAAGAAGAAGAAGAAGAAGAAGAAGAAGAAGAAGAAGAAGAAGAAGAAGAAGAAGAAGAAGAAGAAGAAGAAAGGAAGAAGGAGGAGGAGGAGGAGGAAGAAGAAGAAAGAAGGAAGAAAGAAGAAGAAGAAGAAGAAGAAGAAGAAGAAGAAGAAGAAGAAGAAGAAGAAGAAGAAGAAGAAGAAGAAGAAGAAGAAGGAGGAAGGAGAAAGAAGAAGAATAAGGAAGAAGGAAAAAAAGAAGAAAGAAGAAGGAAGAAGAAGAAGGAAGAAAAAAGAAAGAAGAAGAAGAAGAAGAAGAAGAAGAAGAAGAAGAAGAAGAAGAAGAAGAAGAAGAAGAAGAAGAAGAATAAGAAGAAGAAGAATAAGAAGAAGAAGAAGAATAAGAAGAAGAAGAAGAAGAAGAAGAAGAAGAAGAAGAAGAAGAAGAAGAAGAAGAAGAAGAAGAAGAAGAAGAAGAAGAAGAAGAAGAATCATCATCATCATCTATGGGGTCTTCAGTGCTCTCTGAGCTTGGATGTTTTCTTGCAGACGTTTCATGACCCAACTAGGGAATGTTATCCGTGTTAGGAGGGATTGTGGAGAGGAGGAGGAGGAGGAGGAGGAGGAGGAGAAAGAAGAATCTATGGGGACCTTAGTGCTCTCTGAGCTTGGATGTTTCTTGCAGACGTTTCATGACCCAACTAGGGAATGTTATCAGTGCTAGAAGGGAGGAGGGATTGTGGAGAGGAGGAGGAGGAGGAGGAGGAAGAAGAATCTATGGGGACCTTAGTGTTCTCTGAGCTTGGATGTTTTCTTGCAGACGTTTCATGACCCAACTAGGGAATGTTATCAGTGCTAGAAGGGAGGAGGGATTGTGGAGAGGAGGAAGAGGAGGAGGAAAAGAAGAACAAGAAGGAGAAGAAGAAGAAGAAGAAGAAGAAGAAGAAGAAGAAGAAGAAGAAGAAGAAGAAGAAAGAAGAAAGAAGAAAGAAGAAAGAAGAAAGAAGAAAGAAGAAAGAAGAAGAAGAAGAAGAAGAATCATCTATGGGGTCCTGTGGGGTGGGGTCCCTGGTGCTCTCTGAGCTTGGTGGTTTCCTTGCAGATGTTTCATGACCCATCCAGGTAACCACATCAGTGCAGGAAAGGAGTGAGGATATAGAACTGATCCCACTCCCTTCTAGCACTGACGACATCACTTCGTTTGGTAATGAAATGTCTGCAAGAAAGCAACCAACTCAGAGGACACCAAAGACCCTACTGTCCTTCCTCCTCTTCCACCTCCTCCTCCTCCTCCTCCCCTCTTTCCTCTCCTCTTCTCCTCTTCTCCACAACCTTCACTCCCTTCTAGCACTGATGTTATTACCTAGTTTGGTAATGAAACATTTGCAAGGAAACCACCCAGCTCAGGCAGCACCAAGGATCCCTCCGGTTAGGCCCATTATTCTGCACGTCTAGGACAACATGGAAGAGGTCCTCACCTTCTTCTAAGTGAGGTTGTTGGAGGTTCAATCTGCTCTGCTCGGCCTCTTCCCTTTCGTCCCATATCTTTCCATGGGACTCGGTTCTGGTCCCCGCACTCTTTCTCCGAAGCCAGGTCCAATTTCTCTGGATCCTTCTGAACCCAAGGGGGCGGGCGTCCAAGGAGAGATCCCTTCTTGAGATTTGGAAAGCCCATTACAGGTAGTCCTCGACTGAACAACCATTGTTTGAGCCCCCCCCCCCAAATTTACATCGCTGCACAAGAAATTTGTTCAGCGCGTGATGTCCCGTTTTACGCCCTTTCCCGGCTCGGTTGTGAAGGGAGTCCCGGCCGTTTTTAAAGGAGCCAGATGATTGTTAAGTGAATCCGGCTTCGCCCCCCCTCCCTTGACTCTGTTTGTCGGGAGGTCGCAAAAAAGGGGATCCGGTGACTCCCAACACAGTGGCAACCGTCATAAACACGTCTGTTGCAAAGCATCACGTGACCCTGGGGATGGTGCAATGATCGTAAGGGTGAAAAACGGACGTACTGTATATGCCGGCGTATTAGGCGACCCAGCGTATAAGACGACCCCCATCTTTATCGCCAAGTCGCCTTCCTAGAACGTCGTCTTATACCCCGGAAACCTACCAGTATTTCCGGCGTATAAGACGACTCGGCGTGTAAGACGACCCCCGTCTTTGGCGCCGTTTAGCGCTTCCGGAAGTCGTCTTATACGCCGGCATATACGGTAAGTCCCTTTATTCAGGGCCGCTGTAACTTTAAACCGTCACTGAAGGAACTGTTGCAAGTCGAGATCTATATAACGACTCCTGCTGGAGCAGGGGGCTGGACTAGGTGACCTCCGAGGGCCTTTTCCGACTCTGTTATTCTGTATGGGTAGTTCTCAACTTACAGCAAGTCATTTACCGATCGGTCTCAAGTTATACTGAAAAAAAAGTGACCTCGGAGCGTTTTTTTCACGCTTACGACCGTCGCACTAGCCCCGTGGTCACGCGATCAACATTCAAAGCTTTGGCAACTGACTCACATTTACGGTGGTCACTAAACGAACCGTGGCAAACTGAGGACTCCCCGTGTTTAGGAAATTTGGAAGGGATCGACAAGGGACTTCAGATTTCCCCGTTCGTCCAAGGAGAGGATTTACCGCTGGTCTCGGGGATCGGAGAAAAGTCCCAGTTCCCAACAGCCAGTTGCTTCCTCCGAATCTCCCAGTTTGTGTGTGGGGGGAGACTGGTCAGGACTGGGGAGGGCAGCTTCCCCTCCCCTCTGGGGTCTGGGGATGGAAAATAGACAGGGAATGAGTTGAGATCGCTTTGCTTTTTTCTCTGTTTCCGACAGGCCTCCTGCGCGTCACGCCGCAGATTATCAACCAGATCGAACGTAAGGAGGCCGTTGTTACAGGAGAATTGTGGCAGCCGTGTAAATGGACACATCTACAAGGCCAGTGGCCAGGTCAGAATTTCTTTACCGCTTGGTTGAGAACAAGGAAAATGTGGGATAAGAAAAAGGAAGAGCGCACGGGGGGGGGAGTGTTCACTCGTGATAATCCTCGATTTACGATTTCGCAACTGTTCAAAGTTCCAAGGGCACTGGAATAAAAGGGACTTAGGACCGTTTTACATCCTTCTGACCACTGCGGTCTCTCCGTGGTCGTGTGATCCACATTCAGATATAAATCTGGCTTTCCCTGTTGACTTTACTCGTCGGATGGTCGCGAAAGGAGGATCGCGTTACCCCGGGACATTGCGACCGTCCTAAATATGAGCCTGGCAACTGGCTCATGTTTAGGACAGTCGCAATGTCCCGGGGTAACGCGATCCTCCTTTCGCGACTGTCCGATGAGCAACAGGCTCATATTTAGGACGGTCGCAATGTCCCGAGGTAACGCGATCCTCCTTTCGCGACCGTCCAACGAGCAACAGGCTCATATTTAGGACGGTCGCAATGTCCCGGGGTAACGCGATCCTCCTTTCGCAACCATCCGACGAGCAAAGTCAACAGGGAAAGCCAGATATATTTCATAGCCGTGCGACTGACCGAACCGGCAGGGCGTTACTTAGCGGCTGGGGAGCTGTGCTTTCGGGAATAATTGTGGTTGGGGGTTGGCAAGCTCAAAAGATCACGGTATGTCATTTTCGACATGCAGGGTATCGCTCGGCCCTGACTCATTTCGAGCGATGCCCAGAATCTCGCACAAATGTCTCTGGAATCGCAGCAACTCGCAAGTCGATCCGCGGAGCAGGAGATTCCAGCGACGACATTTGGTTCCGGGGGAATTTTGGGCGGGGGGGGTCAAAACAGTCAAGATGGCCGCCGCAGGTGCCTGACGGACATCAAAGGGGGTTTAGCGGCGCAGGGGCCATCTTGCCTTCTTCCCCCTGGATGCTGCTGAAAAAGCGGCAAGCCGGGGAGGGACGGTTGTGACGTCGACACGGCCATCTCTGAGCGGAGATTTTCAGTTGGTTGCTAGGTAACCATTTTTGGGTGGGTGGGTGGGTGAGAAGAAATGGGGTAGAAATCTAATTATGATTCTCCATCCCGCCCACGGTGACGAGGTGTCCTCTTTCTTCCAGCAGGAGATGGTCTCGCAATGGTGGACGAAGGTGAGGGCAGAGCGGAGACCGGGTCCCCTGTGATGCCCACGGGGAAGAGGAAGAAAGGCCGCCCCCGGACCGCCAACCCGGTACCCAAACCCGAAAACAAAGGTCCCCCACGGGTGACGCTGAAGATGAACCCACCAAAGTGCCCCGAATGCGGTAAAACCTTCCTCAGCAACGTGGCCATGACTATCCACATCCGGACGCACACCGGAGAACGCCCGTTCAAGTGCCACCTCTGCCCCAAGGCCTTCCCCTCCCGGGGGGACCTCAAGCGGCACATCAAGACCCACCTGCGCAGGAAGCCGTCCCCACCGCTCGTGCCCCGCAGCGGCGCCTCGAAAAAGAGCTTGGCGGCCAAGATGCAGCTGCAGGGTCACCTGCGCTGCCTGCCTGATCCGAAGAAACCCTACAGTTGCGCGGAGTGCGGGAAGAGCTTCCACAAGAAGGCGAGCCTCCGCAAACACCAGGGGACGCACTCGACGGAGAGGCCCTTCGCCTGCCTGGAGTGCGGGCGCAGCTTCCGGCTCAAGCAGATCCTGGTGGCGCACATGGCCTCGCACATCAAGGAGCGCCCCTTCCCCTGCGAACAGTGCGGGAAGTGCTTTGCCCAGGAGCGCAACGTGCGCAGCCACCAGAGGGTGCACACTGGCGAGAAGCCCTTCCTGTGCATGGCGTGCGGGAAGCGTTTTGGCTACAAGCAGCATCTGGTCAAGCACCTACGCTTCCATACCGGCGAGCGCCCATACCGATGCCCCGAGTGTGAGAAGACCTTCCGGGATAAAGCCACGCTGAACATCCACTACCGCATGCACACCGGCGAACGGCCGTACCGGTGTCCTTTCTGCAGCAAGACCTGTCGGCAGAAGCAGCACCTAAACAGTCACCTGAAGGTCCACCGGGGGGAGACGCTGCCCCTGGGGGACACCACCGGGCTGACCCTGCAAAAGGTGCGCGCCAAGGAGAAGCCGTACGAGTGTCCGCAGTGTCAGAAGCGCTTCCGGAACAAGAAAATCATGTTGGTGCACCAGAAGACACACAAAGACGACGTGCCGCAAAGCGCCCCGCTGCAGAGCAAGAGGGACCCGCTTGTGGCAGAGAGAAAGGCCCACGGGGCAGGTAGGAAGAGGAAGGATGCGGGGCTCCCTTCAGGGCTGGCGTCCGCCCAGCCGCCGGTGGCCCCCATCGCCTGCGCCGACTGCGGGAGGCGATTCACGCAGAGGAAGTACCTGACGCTGCATCAGCGGAGCCACAGGTGAGGAGACGGTGCTTCCCGTCGGAATCTCATCGCCCACGAAGACTCTCTCGGGGTGGCGCGCGGCACGGGGACCGCCGCGGAGGAGGTGCCGGTTTGCGAGGCGCTGCCCACAAAAATGTCTAGACACAGCGCGGCGAGAAACATTGCTTTATTGTAGACAGCGATGCGCTGTTTTGACCCCCCCCCCAGGACTAAAATAACTCCAGCTTTTACTCCTGCCCTTGTGGGACAAGGGACAGCGGGCTGTTCTCCCAGTTTTGAGAGTTGACAGTCTCTCCCGCAGGTTTCGGATTGGTGTATCTCTGGTGTATCCAGCGGAGGACCATCAAAACCAGCTCAATAGTTGCTAGAGCACGGGTGTCAAACGTGCCACGTCACATGACACGGCGCGAGGTGTCGCCGCTTTTTTGGGCATTGCCGGAACTGGGATGAGTGCGGCCTCGGCATGGTGCAACCGGAAGTTGTGACACCCCCTTCCGAAGTGCGTCACGCTAAGCCCGAAAGACCCATCGGTCTTTGCCCCCACTTGATCGTTCCTCTTCCAGCTCCGTGATTGTGAAAAACGGAGTGGCCGTCCCCGTGGTGTTCCTCCATAAATACAGGTAGTCCTCGACTTAACGACAGTTCAAAGTTACAACGGTGCTGGAAAAATGGGGACTTACGCCCCCTTTTTTCACACTTACCGACCGTTGCAGCGTCCCCAGGGTTGACGGCATTAAAATTCAGGCCCTCGAGCAACTGGTTCCTCTTTGTGACCGTGGTTGCGATTCCCTTTTTATGACTTTCTGACCAGCAAAGCCAGATTCACTTAACGACTGAGCTACCAACTTATCCACGGCGGTGTTTCGCTGGACAACCGGGGCAAGAACGGTCGTCAAACCGGGGCAAACCTCCCTGAACCGACGTCTCACCCGAAAACAGACATTTGGGGGCTCTCTGGTTGTCGTAAGTCGAGGACGGCCTGTATGCAAAAGGGTCCCTTATTCCCGCCAATGCCCTCGGACGTCGCTTCGCCCTTCGAACACCTTGGAAGGCGTTTGGGATGCTGGGACTTTGCTCCATGAAAAACTGCGGCGGGTTTCGGCCGGAAGCTGGAAGTGGTGAGCGGAACGTTCCTGGGTCCAGCAGGCTGGATTGTGACCAAAGAACCACTTTTCAAGACAGCCGCAATAAACCAGAAAATTAATACGATGGAGGAGGAGGAGGAAGAGGAAGGGCTGTGGGGTCCTTGGTGCTCTCTGAGCTGGGTGGTTTCCTTGCAGACGTCTCGTGACCCAACTAGGGAACATCATCAGTGCTGGAAGGAAGGAAGGAAGGAAGGAATGGAGGGAGGGAGGACTGTGGGGTCCCTGGTGCTCTCTGAGCTGGGTGGTTTCCTTGCAGACGTCTCGTGACCCAACTAGGGAACATCATCAGTGCTGGAAGAAAGGAAGGAAGGAAGGAATGGAGGGAGGGAGGACTGTGGGGTCCCTGGTGCTCTCTGAGGTGGGTGGTTTCCTTGCAGACGTCTCGTGACCCAACTAGGGAACATCATCAGAGCTAGGAGGAGGATCGTGGAGCGAAGGGGGGGAGGAGGCGTTGAAGTCCACCCCTCTTAAAGGATGCCAGCTGGGGGATTCTGGGCATTGAATTCTCCACTCTCGAATGATGCTGGCTGAGGAATTCTGGGCGTTTAGATCCACCCCTCTTAACATGCAGACTCTGGGACTTGAATTCAACGCCTCTTAATGTTCTGGCTAAGGATTTCTGGGGGCTGAACTCCACCCCTCTTGAAGCACGCCGGCTGGGGGATTCTGGGAACTGAAGTCCCCACTCTTAAAGCGTGCCGGCTGGGGGATTCTGGGAATCGAAGTCCTCCCCTCTTAAAGCAGGCCAGCTGGGGGATTCTGGGACTCGAAGTCCTCCCCTCTTAAAGCAGGCCGGCTGGGGGATTCTGGGAACTGAAGTCCCCACTCTTCAAGCGTGCCGGCTGGGGGATTCTGGGAGTCAAAGTCCTCCCCTCTTAAAGCATGCTGGCTGGGGGATTCTGGGAGTTGAAGTCTTCCCCTCTTATAGTATGCTAGCTGGGGGATTCTGGGAGTGGAAGTCCTCCCTCTTAAAGCATGTTGGCTAGGGGATTCTGGGAGTTGAAGTCCTGCCCACTTAAAGCAGGCCGGCTGGGGGATTCTGGGAGTGGAAGTCCTCCCTCTTAAAGCATGTTGGCTAGGGGATTCTGGGAGTTGAAGTCCTCCCCTCTTAAAGCAGGCCAGCTGGGGGATTCTGGGAATCGAAGTCCTCCCCTCTTAAAGCAGGCCGGCTGGGGGATTCTGGGAACTGAAGTCCCCACTCTTAAAGCGTGCCGGCTGGGGGATTCTGGGAGTCAAAGTCCTCCCCTCTTAAAGCATGCTGGCTGGGGGATTCTGGGAGTTGAAGTCTTCCCCTCTTATAGTATGCTAGCTGGGGGATTCTGGGAGTGGAAGTCCTCCCTCTTAAAGCATGTTGGCTAGGGGATTCTGGGAGTTGAAGTCCTGCCCACTTAAAGCAGGCCGGCTGGGGGATTCTGGGAGTGGAAGTCCTCCCTCTTAAAGCATGTTGGCTAGGGGATTCTGGGAGTTGAAGTCCTCCCCTCTTAAAGCAGGCCGGCTGGGGGATTCTGGGAGTGGAAATCCTCCCTCTTAAAGCAGACCGGTTGGGGGATTGTGGGAGTGGAAGACCTCCCCTCTTAAAGGATGCTAGCTGTGGGATTCTGGGAATGGAAGTCCTCCCCTCTGGAAGCATGTCGGCTGGGGGATTCTGGGAGTCAAAGTCCACCCCACTTAAAGCAGACCAGCTAGGGGATTCTGGGAGTGGAAGTCCTCCCCACTTAAAGCAGGCCAGCTGGTGGATTCTGGGAACTGAAGTCCCCACTCTCTAGGCTCCATTTTGCATTTCCGGTCGATCCAATCTGGACGAAATTCTGACCGGATATGTTCCGGTCAGCCCATCTTTCTTCCGGAACTTGCCATATTTCTGTCATTGGAGCCTGCCTCAAGTGGATTTGGCCTTCCCCCAAGAGAGTACAGGAAATGCTCAACTCCTTTAGTGACGCTTCCGACAGTTACGACCGCACTTTTTAAAAAAGCGTTTTCCCCCTCTCACGGCCGTTGCTGCACATCCCCAGAGGTCAAAATTCAGATGCTTGGCCTCTGGCTCCTCTTTTATGACGGTCGCAGCATCCCGGGGTCACGCGGTTTCCCGTTTTGCGACCGTCGGAGAAAGAACGTCACGGGGGGGGGCAAGCCGGAATCACTTCATAACCGGGGTTGGGTGGCCTTATTGAACCGCTGCAGCGCTTCGCGTAACGGCGGCGGCGAGAAAGTGTGTAACCTGAGGCAAAGCCCCGCTTGACGGCCGTCTCGCTTAGCGACGGGAATTTTGGGGCTCGGTGGCGGTCCTAAGGCAAGGGCCGCCGGCGAGCCATCGTCACCAACCGAGTTTAATGGTAGCCGGGCACCGCCCGTGGGGGTGCAGCCACGTACCCTCCCTCCGGTTGCTCCAGAGACTGAGTGGCTTCTGCCGACTGGCTTGGCAAAAGGGATCTTCGGCACCTGCCTTTCGCTCCAAGGCGGTCGGTCGGCCTCTCCGGGTGCAGCGCCTGGCGGAAGGCTCAAGCGGCAAGAAGGGGAAGGGTACTGGGAGCTGCAGCTGGGTGAGCCTGGAGGCTGCAACCTGGAGAATCCCCCCCCCCAAAGCCTATACATCTCCCCCAAGTCTTCCTTCCTCCCATTGCCCTGTGTCCATCCTTCCTTCCTATCCTTCCTTTCTCTTCCTGTCCTTCCTTCCTTCCTCTGTCCATCCTTCCTTTCTGTCCTTCCTTCCTCTGTCGTGTGTCCTCCTTCCTTTCCTTCCTCGGTCGTGTGTCCTTCCTTCCTTTCCTGTGTCCTCCCTCCCTCCTTCCTTCCTGTCCTCTGTCTTTCCTTCCTTTCTTCCTTGCTGTCCTGTATCCTTCCTTCCTTCCTCCTGTGTCCTCCCTCCCTTCCTTCATGTCCTGTCTTTCCTTCCTTTCTTCCTTGCTGTCCTATATGCATCCATCCATCCTTCCTTCCTTCCTCCTGTGTCCTCCCTCCCTCCTTCCTTCCTGTCTTTCCTTCCTTTCTTCCTTGCTGTCCTGTATCCTTCCTTCCTTCCTCCTGTGTCCTCCCCCTCCCTCCTTCCTTCCTTCCTGTCCTCTGTCTTTCCTTCCTTTCTTCCTTGCTGTCCTTCTTCCTGTGTCCTCCCTCCCTCCCTTCCTGTCCTGTCTTTCCTTCCTTTCTTTCTTGCTGTCCTGTATCCTTCCTTCCTTCCTTCCTTCCTTCCTTCCTTCCTTCCTTCCTTCCTTCCTTCCTTCCTCCTGTGTCCTGCCTCCCTTCCTTCCTGTGTCTTTCCTTCCTTTCTTCCTTGCTGTCCTGTATCCATCCTTCCTTCCTAAAACGATTAGGGGACTGGAGGCTAAAACATCTAAGGAACGGTTGCTGGAATTGGGTCTGTTTAGTTTGACGAAGAGAAGGATGAGGGGGGACATGATAGCAGTCTTCCAGTATCTCAGGGGCTGCCCCAAAGAAGAGGCAGTCAAGCTATTCTCCAAGGCGCCTGAAGGCAGGACAAGGAGCAACGGGTGGAAACTGATCAAGGAGAGAAGCAACCTGGAACTAAGGAGAAACTTCCTGACAGTGAGAACAATTAACCAGTGGAACCGCCTGCCTCCAGAAGGGGGGAATGCTTCAACACTGGAGGATTCGAAGAAGAGACAGGACAGCCATTTGTCCGAAATGGTGTAGGGTTTCCTGCCTGAGCAGGGGGTTGGACTAGATGACCTCCAAGGTCCCTTCCAACTTTATTATTACTATTATTAGGCTGGACAGCCATTTGACTGAAATAGTATAGGGTTTCCTGCCTGAGCAGGGGGTTGGACTAGATGACTTCCAAGGGTCCCCTTTATTACTATTACTGTCCTTCCTTGCTCCCCTGTGTCCATCCATCCATCCAAAATAACAAGAGTTGGAAGGGCCCCGGGGAGATCATCTAGTCCAGCCCCCTGCTCAAGCAGGAGACCCTTAGAGAGTCGTCCAACGACAGCGTTGGAAGGGACTTTGGAGGTCATCCAGTCCAACCGTCTGCTCAAGCAGGAGACCTGAGACCACTTCAGACCCCTCTCAAGCCTCTGGGCGCCTCTGGATCCCTTGCCCACCACAGACCTGGGCGCTCACCCCAAAACCTCACAGAGCCCCCCCCTTCCCGGCGTGGAAACCCCTCCCCCCGGGGGAGGGAGGCGAGAAAGAACCAGATATCCTTCAGGAAGTTGCTGAAAATGGTTTATTGACTGGCAAAGACGAGAAAGATCTGAGCAGGGCTGGAGAATGGGGTGCCCCCGTGGCGCCCCGATTGTGGATCCTCGGAGGGAGGCGTCAATCAGCGCTTGGCGAGGTCGCCACCTGCAATGAAAAGACAAGATACTTGGAGGTGGGGTTCTGGGGGGGGGTCAGCTTGGAAGGCAGGACTTCTTCAAGGGTGGAAGATTTGGGGGTGAATGGGTGGGGGGTATCTCTTGAGCGGTGCCTCCTTGCAGAGCCCCCTTTGGGTTGGGGAGCTGAATAGGGGGCTGGACTGGCCGGGCCTGGAGCAGGGGGTCTCCAAAGTTGGCCCCTTGAAGACTTGTGGACTTCAACTCCCAGAATCCCCCCAGTCGGCCTGCTTTAAGAGGGGAGGACTTCAACATCCAGAATTCCCCAGCCAGCATGCTTTAAGAGGGGTGGGCTTCCATTCCCAGAATCCCCCGGACGGCATTCTTTAAGAAGGGAGGACTTCCAGAATCCCCCCACCCAGCCTGCTTTAAAGAGTGGAGGACTTCAACATCCAGAATTCCCCAGCCAGAAGGCTTTTAAGAGGGGTGGACTTCAACTCCCAGAATTCCTCCTTCAGAATGCTTTCAGAGGGGTGGACTTCCATTCCCAGAATCCCCCGGACGGTATTCTTTAAGAGTGGAGGACGTCCACTCCCAGAATCCCCCAGCCGACATGCTTTAAGAGGGGTGGACTTCAACTCCCAGAATCCCCTGGTCGGCATTCTTTAAAGAGGGGAGGACTTCCATTCCCAGAATCCCCCAGCTGGTATTCTTTAAGACGGGTGGGCTTCCAACACCCAGAATTCCTCATTCAGAATGCTTTGAAAGGCGTGGACTTCCACAATTTCTCATTCTAAATGCTTTAAGAGGGATGGACTTCAACTCCCAGAATCCCCCAGCCGGCCTGCTTTAAGAGGAGTGGACCTCAACTCCCAGAATCCCCCAGTAATACTAGAAATCAGAATTGTTTCTTTAAATAAAATTTGCTGAAATTCCTTATGCTCAATAACGAGAGGAAGATGTTAGGATATTTTAGCCATTTCTCTGTTTCTCTACTATTCCGCAGACAATAGCTGTTCCCTTCCTAATCAGCTTTTGTTTCCTTATCGACGTACACAAATAAAGTATCAGTGCTTGCTGAAATAGTGTACGATGTGGTTCCTTCTCTGCCATAGGGCAGGCCCTATCTTTGATCAGTTCTGAATAAACGTGTAACGTAAGAGAGCAAGTCTCTGCTCAGATCTGAATAAATGCGTAACTTAACAGAGTCTGTCTCTTTGCTCCGATCTGAAGAAACACGTAACTTAAGAGAGCAAGTCTCTGCTCAGATCTGAAGAAACGTGTAACTTGAGTCTGTCACTGCTCAGACCTGAAAAAACTTGTAACTTAAGAGAGTCTCTCAGATCTGAAGAAACACGTAACTTAAGAGTCTGTCTCTCTGTTCAGATCTGAATAAATGCATAACTTAAGAAAGTCTGTCTCTTTGCTCAGATCTGAAGAAACACGTAACTTAAGAGAGCATGTCTCTGCTCAGATCTGAAGAAACGTGTAACTTAAGAGAGTATGTCTCTGCTCAGATCTGAAGAAAGGTGTAACTTTCAAGAGAGTCTGTCTGCTCAGATCTGAAGAAACACGTAACTTAAGAGAGTATGTCTCTGCTCAGATCTGAATAAATGCGTAACTTTCAAGAGAGTCTGTCTCTTTGCTGAGATCTGAAGAAACACGTAACTTAAGAGAGTCTGTCTTTCTGCTAAGATCTGAAGAAACATGTAACTTAAGAGAATATGTCTCTCTGCTCAGATCTGAATAAACGTGTAACTTAAGTGAGTATGACTCTTTGCTCAGATCTGAATAAACGTGTAACTTAAGAGAGTATGTCTCTCTGTTCAGATCTGAATAAATGCATAACTTAAGAAAGTCTGTCTCTTTGCTCAGATCTAAAGAAACACGTAACTTAAGAGAGTATGTCTCTGCTCAGATCTGAAGAAACGTGTAACTTAAGAGAGTCTGTCTGCTCAGATCTGAAGAAACACGTAACTTAAGAGAGTATGTCTCTGCTCAGATCTGAATAAATGCGTAACTTTCAAGAGAGTCTGTCTCTTTGCTGAGATCTAAAGAAACACGTAACTTAAGAGAGTATGTCTCTGCTCAGATCTGAAGAAACACGTAACTTAAGAGAGTATGTCTCTGCTCAGATCTGAATAAATGCGTAACTTTCAAGAGAGTCTGTCTCTTTGCTGAGATCTGAAGAAACACGTAACTTAAGAGAGCGTCTCTCTGCTCAGATCTGAAGAAACGTGTAACTTAAGAGAGTCTGTCTGCTCAGATCTGAAGAAACACGTAACTTAAGAGAGTATGTCTCTGCTCAGATCTGAATAAATGCGTAACTTTCAAGAGAGTCTGTCTCTTTGCTGAGATCTGAAGAAACACGTAACTTAAGAGAGCGTCTCTCTGCTCAGATCTGAAGAAACGTGTAACTTAAGAGAGCGTCTCTCTGCTCAGATCTGAATAAATGTGTAACTTAAGAGAGTATGTCTCTCTGCTCAGATCTGAATAAACGTGTAACTTAAGAGAGTATGTCTCTCTGTTCAGATCTGAATAAATGCATAACTTAAGAAAGTCTGTCTCTTTGCTCAGATCTGAAGAAACACGTAACTTAAGAGAGCATGTCTCTGCTCAGATCTGAAGAAACGTGTAACTTAAGAGAGCGTCTCTCTGCTCAGATCTGAAGAAACGTGTAACTTAAGAGAGCGTCTCTCTGCTCAGATCTGAATAAACGTGTAACTTAAGAGAGTATGTCTCTCTGCTCAGATCTGAATAAATGCGTAACTTTCAAGAGAGTCTGTCTCTTTGCTGAGATCTGAAGAAACACGTAACTTAAGAGAGCTGTCTCTGCTCAGATCTGAAGAAACGTGTAACTTAAGAGAGCGTCTCTCTGCTCAGATCTGAATAAACGTGTAACTTAAGAGAGTATGTCTCTCTGCTCAGATCTGAATAAACGTGTAACTTAAGAGAGTATGTCTCTCTGTTCAGATCTGAATAAATGCATAACTTAAGAAAGTCTGTCTCTTTGCTCAGATCTAAAGAAACACGTAACTTAAGAGAGTATGTCTCTGCTCAGATCTGAAGAAACGTGTAACTTAAGAGAGTCTGTCTGCTCAGATCTGAAGAAACACGTAACTTAAGAGAGTATGTCTCTGCTCAGATCTGAATAAATGCGTAACTTTCAAGAGAGTCTGTCTCTTTGCTGAGATCTAAAGAAACACGTAACTTAAGAGAGTATGTCTCTGCTCAGATCTGAAGAAACACGTAACTTAAGAGAGTATGTCTCTGCTCAGATCTGAATAAATGCGTAACTTTCAAGAGAGTCTGTCTCTTTGCTGAGATCTAAAGAAACACGTAACTTAAGAGAGTATGTCTCTGCTCAGATCTGAAGAAACGTGTAACTTAAGAGAGTCTGTCTGCTCAGATCTGAAGAAACACGTAACTTAAGAGAGTATGTCTCTGCTCAGATCTGAATAAATGCGTAACTTTCAAGAGAGTCTGTCTCTTTGCTGAGATCTGAAGAAACACGTAACTTAAGAGAGCGTCTCTCTGCTCAGATCTGAGAAACGTGTAACTTAAGAGAGCGTCTCTCTGCTCAGATCTGAATAAATGTGTAACTTAAGAGAGTATGTCTCTCTGCTCAGATCTGAATAAACGTGTAACTTAAGAGAGTATGTCTCTCTGTTCAGATCTGAATAAATGCATAACTTAAGAAAGTCTGTCTCTTTGCTCAGATCTGAAGAAACACGTAACTTAAGAGAGCATGTCTCTGCTCAGATCTGAAGAAACGTGTAACTTAAGAGAGTATGTCTCTGCTCAGATCTGAAGAAAGGTGTAACTTTCAAGAGAGTCTGTCTGCTCAGATCTGAAGAAACACGTAACTTAAGAGAGTATGTCTCTGCTCAGATCTGAATAAATGCGTAACTTTCAAGAGAGTCTGTCTCTTTGCTGAGATCTGAAGAAACACGTAACTTAAGAGAGTCTGTCTTTCTGCTAAGATCTGAAGAAACATGTAACTTAAGAGAATATGTCTCTCTGCTCAGATCTGAATAAACGTGTAACTTAAGTGAGTATGACTCTTTGCTCAGATCTGAAGAAACGTGTAACTTAAGAGAGTATGTCTCTCTGTTCAGATCTGAATAAATGCATAACTTAAGAAAGTCTGTCTCTTTGCTCAGATCTAAAGAAACACGTAACTTAAGAGAGTATGTCTCTGCTCAGATCTGAAGAAACGTGTAACTTAAGAGAGTCTGTCTGCTCAGATCTGAAGAAACACGTAACTTAAGAGAGTATGTCTCTGCTCAGATCTGAATAAATGCGTAACTTTCAAGAGAGTCTGTCTCTTTGCTGAGATCTAAAGAAACACGTAACTTAAGAGAGTATGTCTCTGCTCAGATCTGAAGAAACACGTAACTTAAGAGAGTATGTCTCTGCTCAGATCTGAATAAATGCGTAACTTTCAAGAGAGTCTGTCTCTTTGCTGAGATCTAAAGAAACACGTAACTTAAGAGAGTATGTCTCTGCTCAGATCTGAAGAAACACGTAACTTAAGAGAGTATGTCTCTGCTCAGATCTGAATAAATGCGTAACTTTCAAGAGAGTCTGTCTCTTTGCTGAGATCTGAAGAAACACGTAACTTAAGAGAGCGTCTCTCTGCTCAGATCTGAAGAAACGTGTAACTTAAGAGAGCGTCTCTCTGCTCAGATCTGAATAAATGTGTAACTTAAGAGAGTATGTCTCTCTGCTCAGATCTGAATAAACGTGTAACTTAAGAGAGTATGTCTCTCTGTTCAGATCTGAATAAATGCATAACTTAAGAAAGTCTGTCTCTTTGCTCAGATCTGAAGAAACGTGTAACTTAAGAGAATATGTCTCTCTGCTCAGATCTGAAGAAACGTGTAACTTTCAAGAGAGTCTGTCTCTGCTCAGAACTGAAGAAACACGTAACTTAAGAGAGTATGTCTCTTTGTCCATGCCGGACCCGACCTAGAGATCGTGCACAATGGTACATGGGCTGTGATTGTTAAACCGACTCTCCGGAATAACCGGAAACTCGATAGCGTATCTGAGGGTTGGCTCCTCATGGAAGGGCTATTTCCCCCTCTCTTCCTCCCAGGAGTATCAGCCTGGCTAGAGAGGCCCTTTTCCTGCCCGCTTAAGAGACCCGATCGAGACCTACCTTGGCAGCTGCTGCATTCGCATCCGCGGATGACCGGCAGAACCACGGGCTCCGTCTCGCCCCCGGGACACTGCAAGTTCAGGATGCGCACCGGGCTGACCGGATCCAGGCGGTAGCTGCAGCAGTCGCAAATCGTCTGCAGGTACGGCTCCTGCAACGCCAAGCCAGACGTGGTGAATTGTTCTCACGGTCAGGAAGTTTCTCCTTAGTTCTAGGTTGCTTCTCTCTTTGGTTAGTTTCCCTCCGTTGCTTCTCGTCCTGCCTTTGGGCGCTTTGGAGAAGAGCTTGACTGCCTCTTCTTTGGGGCAGCCCCTGAGATACTGGAACACAGCTATCATGTCCCATAGGTGGCACCATGCTCAATAGTAGTAACTGTGAGAGGGACCTCGGAGTCCTAGTAGACAATCACCTAAATATGAGCCAGCAGTGTGCAATAATACCACTTTACAAGGCCTTGGTAAGGCCACACTTGGAATATGGCATCCAGTTTTGGTCACCATGATGTAAAAAAGATGTTGAGACTCTAGAAAGAGTACAGAGAAGAGCAACAAAGGGGATCAGGGGACTGGAGGCTAAAACATCTAAGGAACGGTTGCTAGAATTGGGGATGTCTAGTTTAAGGAAGAGAAGGGGGGACAGGATAGCAGTCTTCAATATCTCAGGGGCTGCCCCAAAGAAGAGGCAGTCAAGCTATTTTTCAAAGCACCTGAAGGCAGGACAAGAAGCAACGGGTGGAAACTAAGCAAGGAGAGAGAAGCAACCTAGAACTAAGGAGAAACTTCCTGACTGTGAGAACAATTGACCAGTGGAACTCCTTGCCTCCAGAAGCAGTAAATGCTCCAACACTGGAAGTCTTTAAGAAGAGACTGGACAGCCATTTGTCCGAAATGGTGTAGGCTTTCCTGCCTGAGCAGGGGGTTGGACTAGATGACCTCCAAGGTCCCTTCCAACTTTACTACTATTACTATTAAACTAGACATACCCAATTCCAGCAACCGTTCCTTATATGTTTTACCCTCCAGTCCCCTGATCATCTTTGTTGCTCTTCTCTGCACTCTTTCTAGAGTTTCAGCATCTTTTTGACATCGTGGTGACCAAAACTGGATGCCGTATTCCAAGTGTGGCCTTACCAAGGCCTTGTAGACCGGGATTAACACTTCACGTGATCTTGATTCCGTCCCTCTGTTAATGCAGCCTAGCACTCTGTTGGCCTTTTTGGCAGCTGCAGCACACTGCTGGCTCATATTTAAGGGATCGTCCACTAGGACAGTGGTTCTTAACCTTTTTGAACGAATCGCCCCCTTGAGCCAATGAGGAGGTTGTCATCGCCCCCCTCCCCCAACATAACCTGTCAATCACAACATAGGAAATAATTCTTCAATTTATGCAAACACTTGTTTTGTTTTCTTTAAAATTGTCACCAGGACATATCGATGCAAATCATTTATTTCCAGTCTTTTTCCCCTATCTCAGTGGTTCTCAACCTGTGGGTCGGGACCCCATTTGGGATCGAACGACCATTTCCCGGGGGTCGCCAAACAACGCAGTCTGCCATTTTTTCCCCCTTTTCCTTAGCTGTGCTATTCCCTTTTATTCTATTGGCTTTTGAAAGCCAATAGAATAGACTCTCTTGAATAGAATCTCATTCTATTGGCTTTCAAAAGCCAATAGGAATTGTCCAGGCTGTCTCTGCCCTGCTGAGCCCGCCAAAAGTCCCATTCTGCAAACGGTGCTGCACCAGTTGAGTAGTCCTCGACTTACGACCGTTGAGTAGTCCTTGACTTACGATCGGTTGGGGGTCGCGGCATTAAAAAGGTTAAGAACCACTGCCCTATCTCAACTGTGTGAAAAAAGTTTGGTGCCCCCCATCACTTTATTCCCAAACTTTGTGATCCGTGTATTTCATTATTATCTTATTTATTCAAGACACTTCAAGGTAATGACCACGGAAAACAAAAATTCAATGGCAAGAACGTGAAATGCTCAAAAACAAAAACGGTAACCTTTCAGGATGGAACGACGAGTCAAATTTAAGACGCAAAAATATATATATATATAAAAAGGGCGTAAAGACAAACCGCCATGCAGGAACTAAGAATTTCAAGACGAAAACTCTGAAACTAAATTAAGATTCGGGGAAAGCATATATAGTCGCGCCCACGGTAAAAAGGATTAAAAAGACACAAAAGAAAATATAATATCGAACTGGAGGGCACGCTAAAAAAGTCCAATACAAAATGTTTCACACAGCCACTCGGCAGGCGATGTTTTGAAAGAAGCGCTGCCCCCTCCATCAGATATACAGCGATTCACTGTACGAAAAAAGTCTCAAAGTGTTCCCAAAACTTCTCGCTCCATCGCCCCCATATCAGCCCCCTTTTCATTCCTTCGCCCCCGCATCGCCCCATTTTGTTCCATAGCCCCCCTAAAAAATGAAATCGCCCCTGGGGGGCAATATTATCCAGGTTAAGAACCACTGCACTAGGACTCTCTCACAGTTACTACTGTTGAGCAAGGTACCCCCTATACTACACCTGTGCATTTGGTTTTTCTTGCCTAAATGTAGAACCTTGCTTTTTTCACCCTTGAATTTCATTTTGTTAGTTAGTGCCCAGTGTTCGAGTCTGTCCAGATCCTTCTGTATCTTAAGCCCGTCTTCTGGAGGGTTGGCTATTCCTGCCAGCTTGGTGTCGTCCGCACATTTGATGAGTTCCCCATCTATCCCCTCGTCCAAATCGTCGATGAAGATGTTGAAGAGCACCGGGCCCAGAACAGAGCCCTGGGCCACCCCGCGGCACACTTCACGTAGAACAGCGGTTCTCAACCTTTCGAATGCCGCGACCCCATAATACAGTTCCCCATGTTGTGGGGACCCCCAACCACTTATATATCACCGGGTGCCAGGGGCGTGGCCAAAGAAAAGGGGGGAAAAATGGCGGACAGCCTTGTTTGGCGACCCCCGT